ATCGCTTTCTTGCCACTTTTGAGAGCAGCGTGGGATAAGGTCCTATGGTCAACATCTGGCAGAGTTGCACCGGAGGACCTAGAGATTCCTAGAGAGGACACATTCTTCAAAACCGCAAATAATCAAAGCCGCAAAAATCAAACCTACAAACCTCAACAACATCATCAAGCTTTCGGAAATTATATTTTACATGAAGACTCAACTGTGCCAGGTCCTGAATAATATTAGAACTTAATTAATACTATGAACCTTTTAAAGTTTCCTCCATACCCTTCTTCTACATTATCATATCCATGGCTGTTATTAATTTGTTGTTTCGTTATTAACAATTGTTAATAATAATAATAATAATAATAATAATAATAATAATAATAATAATAATAAAAAATTATTTCTATACCGCCCAATGGTTACCCAATCCAGGCGGTTTACAATTTAAAACAGTACAATGACAAAATATCCCCTCCCCTGTTAAGATGATCGTTGCTGTTTTTATTATTGACGTTTTATATAATCCCTGAATTGTAATACAATAAAATTTGACCAAAAAATAATAATATATATATTTTTTAAAGTCAAAGCTGCAAATGTGGAGGGCCAACTGTACTTTCCCCAAATGTCTAACTTTGCAGAGAGGCAATAAAAATAGACCTCTTTTATTTGTTGTGTTCACTTCCTCTGTCCTTTGTGATGGATCCCTAAACTATATTTTTCCCCCTTCATATATTAAATATTTATTTCAAATATAACATTGTAGCCAACATTTAGAAATTAGTAACTTCCTGGATTATGGGGTGTGTGTGTGTGTGTATGATAAAATCTGCTGATAGTGGCTCCCTGAAAACCCTTCCTGTTAGTGCCATGCAGTCATATAAGTGAAACATACGCACATGTGTATCCCTTTTTCGATGCAGCAAAGGGGGCTAATCTCTTGCCCTTGCGTTCCCTCAGCCCCAAAGTAGCTGTCAAACCCTGGGAGGGACTACTGTTAGGATTTTGGCTCTGGACTGGAGGAAAGGAGAGGAGGGGCAGACTCTTGCCTTCCCTGTAGGATCAGGCAAAAGCAAACCGCTGCAGCTTTTCCTAGTCCAGTGGTAGCAAACCTATGGCACGCGTGCCAGAGCTGGCACTCGGAGCTCTCTCTGTGGGCACACACACCATCACCCCCAGCACAGAGCTCACCGCAGGGATGCAGCACTTTGCGATAAACAAGTGAGTTTTGGGTTCCAGTTTGGGCACTTGGTCCAGAAAAGGTTCGCCATCGCTGTCCTAGTCTGTGCGTCCTTCCCCATTAATCATTGGTGCCATTTTGATCACACACAGTTGTTGCACGTCCACAAGTTTGTGTGTGCGTGTGTGTGGGTGCATCTACACTCTAAATAATGCCATTTGACATCACTTTTAAGTGCCGTAGTGCCATCCTATGGAATACAGGGATTTGTAGCTTAACAAGGTCTTTAGCTTTCTCTGCCCCAAGGGTACAGGTGCCTCAGCAAACTACACATCCCAGGATTATGCGGGATGGAGCCATGGCCGTGAAAGCCGTGTCAATCTGTGTATTTCTGCAGTGCGGATGCAGCCTCGAAGGCACACAAACACCACAACTATTCCTAATGTCAGGGCCAGCCTCGTGCTCCTGGATTTTGGGACTTTCTCAGGATGCATCTGCACTGCAGAAATAATGCAGTTTGACGCTGCTTGAAGTGCAAGGTCTCCATGCTATGGGATTCTGGGGTTTGTAGGGTTTTTTGTTTTGTTTTTTGGTGAGATATTTCACCTTCTCTATCAGAGAGCTCAGGTATCACCACAAAACTACAAATCCCAGGACTGCACAGGAAGGAGCCATAGTAGGAGTAACAGAATTTAGTCTGGAAACTCAAGTCTGCAGAAAGATCTTGGAGCCCCTTTGAGACTGAAAGGAAGAAGCTGGGAGCATGAGCTTTGCTGGGCTTGAGCCTCCTTCCTCATCCATCCCTTTGCATAGCAGTTAAAGCGGTGTCAAACTGGATTAATTCTGCAGTGCAGATTGCAACCTCTAGCTTTTTCTCCCTGTCCCTTTTTGGGGCAGGAGAGCTCCTCATTTGATTTTCATGCCAGACAGATCCTGCGAAGGGTTAAGGCAAGAGAGAGTGTGAGTTTGCTAGAAAGACCAGGGAGGGACTTGCAAGAATAAAAATGCAGAAAGAAAGAGAGAGGAGGGGAAAAGCTTGGAGGGCTTTGCAAGTTCCTTCCTGTCTTTGGAGGGGAGGAGAAAGAAGGGAGTTGGAAAGGAGGGGAGGAGAGGAAAAAAGGTTTTTCTTATAGGGTTTTTTATTTTTGCATTTGGTGTTTGGGTAGGGCTGGTCCTGCAAGGAGAAGGTGGTCCTTTTGCAAAGGTGAGTGAGCTACAACCTGGGAGAAAGGAGAAGGAGGGAGCTGCAGGAAAGGCTGGGAGGAATCATTGGCTCCTTGCTTCCAGAATGGGAAAGAAAAGAGGAAAAACCACAAAGAAACTGGAGCCACTCAGCTCTATAAACCAGGGTTATTGTTGCTATTATTATAATCATCATCATCATCATCAGTGAGGATGGCCATGCCATCATTGCAACTTTAGGCACAGAGTATCAGTAAAGTTGCAACTTTACATACAGAGCATCCTCATCATCATCATTGCTATTACTGTTGTTGTTGTTATCATTATCATCATCAATGATGATGATGGCTATGCCATCTTTGCAACTTTACGCACATAGCATCAGTAAAGTTGCAGCTTTATGCACAGAGCATCATCATCATCATCATCATCATCATCACAATAATAATAATTGTTATCATCATCAGTGCTGACAGTGATGCCGTTATTGCAACTTTCTGCATAGAGCATCATCATCATCACAATAATAATAATAATAATAATAATAATAATCGTTATCATCATCAGTGTTGACAGTGATGCCATTATTGCAACTTTCTTCATAGAGCATCATAATTATTATTGCTATTCCTATTATTATTATTATCATCATCATCATCATCATCATCAATGCTGATGGCCATGCCGTCATGGCAACTTTACACACAGAGCATCATAATTGTTATTGCTATTGTTATTATTATTATTATCGTTATCATCATCATCATCAATGTTGAGAATGACACCATTATTGCAACTTCACATACAGAGCATCATAATTATTATTACTATTATTATTATTATTATCATCATCATTATCATCATCAATGTTGAAGGTGGTGTCATCATTGCAACTTTTCACACAGAGCATCAGTAAAGTTGCAACTTTATGCACAGAGCATTATTATTATTATTATTATCATCATCATCATCATCATCATCAACTATGATGGCCATGCCATCATTGTAACTTTACACACAGAGTATCAGTAAAGTTGCAACTTTATGCACAGAGCATCATCAAAGATTATTATGCCCATGCCATAATTGAACCTTTATGCACAGAGCAATGAAGCATGGAATTAAGAAATGAAAAATTAATCATGATTGCCTTTTTTCAGGCAATGACAAGAGCATCAGTAAAGTTGAAACTTTACACACAGAGCATTATCATTATTATTGACATTATTGTTATCATCATCATCATCATCATCATCATGATGTTTGGTGTGTTGCAACTCACCAAATGCATACTGTGTCAGAAGTAAGACCTCTCTGGAGCACAATTAGGACATGTTCCCAGCAAAGAGTGTACATGCATCTACACTGTTGAAATAATTCAGTTTGACACCACTTGGAAGTGCTGTAGCTCCCACCTGTGGACACCTGGGATGTGTAGTTTGACCAGGTCTTGTAACCATGCAGCCTGAGTGTCTTAAGCCCTCTCCATATATAGAAGACTGATAGGGATAGTGGTGGGAGTGACTTCTAGAGGTGTTTGACTACTGACTTCAACTCCCATCATTCCTAGTTATAGTTAAGGAAGCCCCCCCCCAAGTGATGTGGGAAAGGGGAGCTGAAGAGGGTGAGCCAAGAACTCCAAGACCCAGGTTCAAATTCCCCATTCAGCCATGAAAGACATAGAGGGATTATAGTTAAAGCTACCTTCCAGGGATGTTGTGAAGATTGAATCAGAAGTTAGGGAGTAAAATTTATGTGCTGCCTAACCAAAGTGGTGTAGTGGTTTGGGTGTTGGACTATGACTCTGGAGACCAGGGTTCGAATCCCCACTTGGCCATGGGGGTGGCCATGGGCAAGTCACACTCTCTCAGCCTCAGAGGATGACAATGGCAGATCCTCCTTTCTGAAGAAATTTGCCAAGAAAACCCCAGAGTCATTATAAGTCCAAAAATGATTTCGAGGCACAAAACAACAGCAAGCACGTCTTATGGGGAAAAATAATGCTTGAGTAATGATTTGTGGAATATGGGACAAACACTGGGAGGCCTATGTTCAAAGGACTACTCAGCTCTGGAATTCACTTCACTGAGTGATCTCAGTCTAAATCTATAGCTGCTGCTACACTACAGAATTAATGCCATCGGACACCCCTTTGATTGCCATGGCTCCATCCTGTGATATCCTGGGATTTGTAGTTTGTTCTGGTACCTGGGCTGCATCTGCACTGCAGAACTAATGCAGCTTGACGCCGCTTTAACCGCCATGGCTCAATGTTATGGAATCTTGGGATTTGTAGTATGTTGTGGCACCAAGAACTCTCGGACAGAGAAGGCGAAATATCTCACCAAACTACAAATCCCAGCATTGAGCCATAGCAGTCAAAGCAGTGTCAAACGGCATTATTTCTGCAATGCAGATTAAGCCTTAGTCCCATTGATTTCAGTGGGCCTTCTCTAATTTGGAACCCCTACTGAGTAGAGTCAAGTCATTTATTCCATATTGTAGGGATGAGGCTGGAAGGTGAGAGTAACCAGAAATAGTGCAAATTGAGTCCACTTTAACTGCCCTGGCTCAGTGCTAGGGAATCATGGGAATTGTATTTTTTTCTGAGACATGGAGCCTTCTCTGTCAGAGAGCTCTGGTGCCACAATAAACTACAGTTCCCATGATTCCCTAGCACTGAGCCAGGGCAGTTAAAGTGGACTCAATTTGCACTATTTCTGCCAGTCTGCAAAGGCCCTAACTTGTTAAAGAGCAGCCAAACATGTTTCTAGCAGCAGCAGCAGCAATGCCTGGACCAGTCAGTATCCTGGATCACAGTCACTACAGCACACCAGCAATCTGGTTTAATCAATTTAATCTAATGTACACATCTCTCACACACAGTTTTTAAAGGAACAAGAATAAGAAGCTAGTGTTACGACTGGCAAGATCCCTTTGCATACTGGGGAAAAGGCAGAATATATATATATATATATATATATATATATATATATATA